TCACTTCCTGGTTTTCCCATGGAAACCCAGAGGAACTGCTAACACACGGCCCGGATAAGGCCGTCTCCCCAACCAACGCTCTACGGATCTGCAGAAAACTTAACAATAAGTACCTCGCGCTAATATTTCTTTTGGAATATGTGCTTCCTGCCTGAATTTTAATTTCGCCCTCTGCAAAACTCACACTTCAAAAAGATTTTGTTTCTCCCTAATGAGCTTAGGAAGGTCTTCGTGGGACACACTGCCAGCGTTACACGGGATTACCACCCGAGCAGCGCCGTGTAACGCTAATCCGAGTTCAAAGGAATTTCCAGTTTATGAAAATCAGTATCGCCACGTGGCATCTCAACGCGGAGCCCCAACTGCAATTCCCACCGGATAACGAAATGAAATAAAATAACCGGTTTTTCAGATCCCATAATTGTGGTGAGAAGTAACAGTTTTTTTACCTTGATATTGGGGTTTTTTAAGGCAAATCCTCTGTACCAGCCTGTGGAGAAATAAGCAGAGTCACTTTTAAATAAACCGCTGGGGTATTCTTTATTTTTTTTAAAGCAATGATTACAAGTCAATCTGCTGTTTGCTGTCTCCGGGAATCAAGGATCTGCACAAGAATGAACAGATTTCCAAATTCTCCCCGCCCGGCAGCACGGCCCCCGAGGGGCCTCGGGGAGCAGCGCTCAGCCACAGCACGGGGCGAGCTGGCACGGCCTCAGGCGTGGGCCGGGGCAGGTCCGTCTTGCAGCACCAGATGGGCGAGCCCAGACCAGGAGTCCAGCCAGTGACCTGCCGTCAGTGTGTGTGGGGCCAGGGCAGTGGAGACACTTCCGTAAGGGACAGCACCGTCTCTCCTCCGTGCTGTGCCTGACACAACACAGCAAGAACTGGGAGAACAGCAAGCGTGAGGCCAGGTATCACCCACCAAGAGGATGCGCCATCACCCCTTCACCAGCTCAGCGTCCAGCCTCCGCGCTCACCGTCACTCCCATTCCGCAGACGGCCTGCCCTAGCCCGCCACACGCTGACCGTTCCCCTTAAAGGGTACACACCTTCGTTATATAAAACGAGTAAGGTTATATATGTGGCTAATATGTATGGCTAATACACAGGCCTCTATCAATACAGTAGTTTCAAGGATACAAACCACTTCGTTTACCGGCAGGAAATTATTTGACCATGCAACCAGTGTTCCTACTGAGCAGAACTTTTGTGATTAACTGAATTTCCAAAATGAAATACTTGAGCTTTGTGTTTAAATATATTTGCTCCTCGTAAGTTTTTTTGTCAAACTTTACGTTGACCTGCATCAGAAGTAGAAACAGACAAAACGCGTCTGGCAATGACGCAGAAAGCATGACCTCTTTCAAGGTGTGGATCACGGTGGAAAGCGTCAATGTCCACGCATCACCCCCACCCAATGCCGGGCCCCAGCTAAATGGGACAGCGGTTTGGGGGAGCACAATTGAACCAGTAATGAACCCTCCAATGACAGAATGCCATCATATTGTAGATTCCTAATAAGGACAACAGGCTTGGAGGAAAATGAATGTTTTGGGATAAACTGATGGGACTTTAAAATGTGTTCTTTCTATTATAATAACAACAGCCAGTCCCTTCATCCGGGGTCTTTTCAAGGACTAAAGTTGAAGGGTGCTTTGCACAATAGGAAGGGAAAGACTTGAGAACGTACTGGGTATCCTGACTTAATGTTACCTGCTGCGTGAGTTAATCATCATCATGTAAATTCATGTAATATGTTCCACTAGCATTTCAAATGTATCAAGTAACTGTAGTCTAAATTTGGAGGGCTGGAGGGGGGCACGCTTGCAGCTGGAGGATAGAATTCCCCTGGAGGCGCCCTCTCCCAGGCCCTGGTCACCCCCACGGGGGAAGGATTTCTGTCCTGGGGAACCCACTCGCCCCTCAAGAGTCTAAGGCAGCCTTTGAGGGGCCAATGGGACCTACACAGGAGTCTCAGCTGCTTTCTCTTTGGGCATCGGGGGGTATAAGGAAATAACATTAGGGAGAAATAACATCAGCTAAAATATGCCAAACGATGCCCTGGCCATGTTGGCTCAGTGGATAGAGTATCTGCCTGCGGACTGAAAGGTCTCAGGTTTGATTCTGGCCAAAGGCATGTACCTTGGTTGCGGGCACATCCCCAGTAGAGGGTGTGCAGGAGGCAGCTGATCGACGTTTCTAACTCTCTATCCTTCTCCCTTCCTCACTGTAAAAAAAATCAATAAAATTAAAACACATACACACAAAATCATCATTATGATTTCTCATCTGCCAAATGCTGAATGCAAGAAGCAAGTCTCGTCAGATGGTTCATGGTGCCTCCTGGGGAAACCCAGAGGACAGAGGGGTGGACGGGGTATGGACTTCATGAGCGGTGGGGAGAGGGCCCACTTACCATCGCACTTCTCCAGGATCTGAACCGTGTCTCCGATCTCCAGCGACAGGCCGAATGGGACGGTGCCTCGAAAGCTGGCAATTACTGCAAGAAATGGGGTGCAGAGAGGAAGGTCATCGCAGGCAGGTCGGGAGCCACACTGCCCCCCGCTAAGCGTGCCTGAGCAGAGGGCCTGGCTGTGGGCAGGGCGTGCCCTGTGTGGCGAGGTCTCGTTCTATGTCACGAAGCTCTGAGGAGCTGGTCTTTAAGTTTATACACTTTGCCAACCTCTCCATCGGATCAGATGAGAGTCAGGGTGTGGAATTACTGAAGGACGGCGCCCCGCGTGTCCACCACGACGCTCCCTCCCCGTCCGGGGCCTGCCCCACGGGGACTCAGTAAAGAGAGGATCCGTGGTAAGTGAGGGATGCACGTCTTACTTGTGGTTAAACACAGTGGTGGGAGGAGAGGCCTTGTCCTCGGGCTGTGAGCTCCTCAAGAGCAGGCCCTGTGGCCACTGTGGCCCCAGGACCACGCCACAGTCTCCGTGGAGTGACCAAGGGGGACCTTTGTTGGTAATGAATGGAGCCCTCTCCAGGACTAAACAGGACCACCACGCCAAGGCCCACATCCCAGCCCCTCACTTCTGGACCAGCACCATCCCAGCCCCTCACACCTGGACCGGCACCGTCCCAGCCCCTCACCCCTGGACCGGCCCCGTCCCGGCCCCTCACCCCTGGACCAGCACCATCCCAGCCCCTCACCCCTGGACCGGCACCGTCCCGGCCCCTCACCCCTGGACCGGCACCGTCCCGGCCCCTCACACCGGACGGCACCGCATTGGGAACGGGTGGGTGAGGGGCAGCTGGTGATGAATGACGGGTTCTGGACCTTCCGCAGGCAGAGAAGGTGAGTGTGCTCAGTCCAGCCCCGGTGGCTCGGGGAGTTTCAGTGAGATGCGCACAGTGACTCTCCGAGGACACCAGCGCTCCGCTCAGAAAGGAGACGACGTGGGAGGAATAACCAAACCGCACCCCAGCCCAGGACAGACAGACCGCACCACACAGACACACCCTGGGCGCTGAGACCCACTCCACGCACAGCGGGAGGAAAGGACAGGACCTGCTGTCAGCGCAGCTCTGACAAGACCAGCATGTGGAAGTGACGGGGCGTCCTGTCTGGAACGGGGAGACTCAGACACCACACCCCCCCCCCGTCCCCCGGGAAGGACGGCCCTGCTGTGGGCTGAGGTGGCAGCCCCGTGCCCAGGCGACGGGCTTGTAGACACCAGCGTGCCCAGGCGACGGGCTTGTAGGTGAGTTTGAGGCCCCCGGTGATCTGTAAACAAAATCCACCGCAGCCACCAAAACGGGGGGCAGAAACCACGACCCGGATCCCACGTGACGGTGGAAATGACCACGCAGTAACCACGTCACGTGGCACAAGCACAGTTCACAGTGTCCTGGTGGGCCTACCACCAGACACGACCTAGCACCGATGTGCCAGACCTGCACACACTTCGCAGATGACTCCCCGGAACTGCCAGGCCCCTCTTAGAGGGGGTGACGATTTCGACATCTCATCAACACGGTAACTTAGAACCGAAGGCTGGGTCCTCACGCGGCCCCTGAAGAGCCCCCTTACTCAATGAAGCGGCTGAAATCATACCTTCATGGGCAAGTGGAGGACGGGCGGGGCACCCGGGACCGGGGACGTGCAGGGGCAGAGGGGGAGACACTGGCGGGTGTGGACAGATGCCATCGCCTTCCGAACACCGTGCTGCTCGCCCAGGTCTCTGGGAAACGCAGGCCCCTGGAGGCCCCCACACCGCACCCGCCTGGACCATCTGCTCAGTGCCCCTTGCACACACGGTCTAATCGGGGGTACATCTTGCTCGCGTGAGGCTCGCCTTTCCACCTCACTCCTGCCCCAACCTCCGGGCAGACAGTGGGGCCGGGTAGCAGCCCATCCAGGCCTCAGGCTCTGCCCAGTGGGGGGCCGGGCAGGGCCTCGGGGCAATAATCCCATCGTGACCAGCCCAGGGTGTCTGTAAGCCTGGCTCTCACGCTGTAAGAAATCCGTCTACCCCTTCACCCCCACTTCCTAAATTCTCTCCGGAGGCTCCCTGCTTCCCTGCAGGGGCCGTTTCTAAAGTAGAAGACATTCAGGAAGGAAAAGCTGCCAGGTTATCTCGGGGATGTTAGCAGCAAGTTGAGACAAAGCTCAAGCAGCCGGTGAAAACACGCATGACTGACTCCGCACGTGTCCATGATGGTAAACTTCTAACCCTCCATCGGGGTTCCTCAGGGCACCAGGTCCCCTGGGGACCGCGCCCCCTGTGCCCCCACTTCCCTTTCATGAAGGAAGGAAGCGGGTGCTTCCTGGGCTGCCCCCTGGCTGTGGCTCCCGGCAAACGCCACTCCCCGGTGCTGCCCGCCGTCACAGGCACCTGGTTTCCGGTTGGCACATTGCTGCACTGTTAAAACGCTACCCCCACCCCACACACCTCATTTTTTAATGCAAGATTCAACATGGCTGTGCTTGACAAGGGTTACAGATCTCTGTAAATATTTACCCTCTCCCCTCTTGCACAATGGAGCTTGCCAAACAAATCAGATACATTTTCCAAAATACCGTCCAACACAGACGGCCGCTCTGCCCAAACCAGCCGCTCGGTCTCACGAGATGGTAATCAGGGTCAGGCCAGCCCCTGCTGCTGTTGGTGTGAATGAGATGGTGCACTTGTTTTTATTTTTCCGGGCGTCACGGCGGTGACTCAGTCTGTCCAGGAATGCCATCCGACCACGTGGGTGCCTGTGGGCTTACTCACAAAGCGGTGCCGGTGCCGCTGGCATTCCCCAGATTCCGTCAACCGGGAGGGAGGAACCATGCCCGGGGGGCGGGGAGGGGGGGAGACCAGATTAGAAAGACAGCGAGTTCAGGCAGCTCAGAAAGCTTTATTTTGGGGAGAGAATCTCCAACTCCCCAAAATAACCTCCCCGTATAAGATGTAAGTGGAAGGCGTAAGGCATTCAATGTGACCCCAAAAGCAGAGCTGAGGGCGGGAACTGCTGAGCCGCCCTGCCAGCCACCCTACGGCCAGCGTGAGCGTGAGAAGACACGACTGCTGCTTCTTTAATTAGTAACGACGATTTTAGAAATTACTTTTACGTTTTCATTGATTTCAGAGAGGAAGGGAGAGAGAGAGAGAAATATCAGTGATGAGAGAGAATCATGCACACCTCCTAATGGGTATCGAGCCTCCAACCTGGGCATGTGTCCTGACCGGGAATCGAACCATGATCTCTGGTTCACAGGTACTCTGGGAGGGCCTGCATCAGCAACCACGTCCAGTAGAAACGGCAACCAGGAAAGCTGGGTCTGAACTCCTGACCCCTGCTCCCCCAACACCCTGCCCCCCAGGTCTGTCTGTCCCCGCCAGAGGTCAGTGGAGGCAGCCGAGAGCAGGGCAGGACGGGGCACGCCCCTCTGTCTGGATAATCTGAACCGTCATGCATCTGCGGGAAGAACTGTATTGGCGTCAAGAACGTGGCTACCTCCTGGCCAGTGTGGTTTGGTGGGTGAGTGTCGACCTATGAACCAGGAGGTCACAGTTCAATCCCTGATCGGGGGACAGGCCCGAGTTACAGGCTCCATCCCCAGTAGGAGTGTGCGGGAGGCAGCTGATCCACGATTCTCTCTCCTCATTGATGTCTCTCCCTCTCCCTTCCTCCCTGAAACCAATCACACACACACACACACACACACACACACACCACTGCTCCCAGATGCCATGCCATGCCATGCCACGCTGACTTCAGAGTCCCAGCGGCCAGCTCAGAGGACGGGGGGCCGGCTGTGCAGGGGGCAGGAGGGACGCCCGTCCAGGGAGGGCCTCGCATTGGGGCGGAGCAGTGAGTTCGGAAGGAGGCACCTGCCCCGAAGGGGAACACAGGGCAGCACCAGGGAGCGGGCTGGAGTGAGCGCTCAGACACGCTTTATTCTGCTAAAGAGTTGCTACGTCTTCCTACAAACTCTCAGGAAGGAGGCCCGGCCCGGTGTCTGTAACTCCCTGTTGTGTGTTCTGCTTTGTGACCTCCAGTCCGACAGAGCCTCTGCCCGGAGGCCCACGCTCCCCTCCCTGAGCTGTGCCTGGCGGACCCCTCCCTCCGGAAGAGCCTTGCGGTGTGGCCTCCCCGTCGCCTCTTCAAAGGAATCGCATCCTGCGGGACAGTGTCCGGCCTCACTCCACACTAATCGACGAACCTCAGGAAGGAGACGGGGAAGGGAAATGCTAATCACAAGGAATGAAGACAGAGCCGCAGCGATCAGACTGTCAGGCCTCAGAGGGAAGGCAGGGGAGGGTGGGAGCAAAGGGGAGAGATCAACCAAAGGCAGCAGATATGAGCCTAACCAGAGGTCACGGACAACAGGGGGGTGGGGGCATACGTGGGGAGGGGTTTGGGATGGGAATGGTGGGATGAGGACAATTATGTGACACCATAATCAATAAAGAAATTAAAAAATATATAATAAAATAAAATTTAAAAAATAAAATATCCAGGGGGGGGGAGGGGGAAGAACTGAAGTGAGGTGAGCACAGGATTAAAAGGTCTCCGGCTACAGCACCCGCGGATGCATGCAGAGCGCGTTCCAAAGTCAAATAATCAAACGCCATCGCTCCTGAGAACCACACAAACAGCCTGCTCACCCACACCAACAGGCGGCGTGCAGGCCGGGCTGCTGGCCCCCCGTCGCCCACCACCCACCAGCCACCCGCCACCCGCCACCCGCCCTCCGCCCCCCGCCCCCCGCCACCGGCCACCCGCCAACCGCCCCCCGCCACCCGCCACCGGCCACCCGCCAACCGCCACCCGCCCGGAACGAGGCGGGAATCGCAAGTCCGAGGGCAGATCCACGCCCGCGGCCTCACAAACCTCACCGGGAACTCTCCTCTCCCCGGAGGCCCGTAAGCAGGTCGCCGCCGGCTTACCACGCCGGGCGGCCGGGAGCGTGTGATGGGTGGCGATGTGCCCGTCGTTTTGGAGGGAAAGTTGCTGTTTTGTTATCCTGATGGGACGGTGAGGTATTCAAGAAGAGGGTGC